AGCTCATATGTGAGTCAAGGCAGGTGAGCAAATACTTTTGGCAATATAGTGTATATATAAATAATGTTAGAAGTTGGGTGCTGTTCCAAATTATGCCAGAAGATGGCGCCAAAAGTTAGTAATTGTAAAAATCATTAATCCACCTATTGACTAGATCCTTTGTCTGCCTATACCTGCCTATTATCAGAAGAAAAAATATAAAGTCAACATATTTATACTTTATCATATTTACAAGTAAAAGTAAAAAGTAGCAGACCAAGAAAGCAGAAGAGCATACCCCATCAGACCAGCATACCCATAGTCAATATGTAAGACGTTAGGTATGCATTTATCCCTTTAGTTTGGTATGACAAATAGACTTTAAACCTAAACGGTAGTCATTTACAAATATATATATATATATATATCGCCATATGCTTCAAAAATCACCAAAAACTACGTAATTAAATAGTTTTTTTGTACATGACTAAAGGGATACACGCCTGTTGAGGTAGTTTAAAGATTATTTTTCATACAAAACTAAAGGGATAATCTAAAGAGATATACTAGGGGGGATTTGCCATTAGGCAATACTAGGCAGCTGCCTAGGGCCCCAAGTTCCTGGGGGCCCCATGAAACTCTGTTTACATATATGGTTAATACAACTATTCCTTGTGCACACTAATTATGTTTTTGATAAAAATGCCTTCGGAAAGCTTATAATATTAAATTTGTCTCAGCACACATTTCTCAGCACACACATTTATATCTCACTATATATAATTTAATTTCTCCCTCCTTTATTTGTTTATTTTATTTTGAGGGCCAACTAATTTTATGCTTACTCGTTTATTGAGCATTCTATTATTTCTGTATTTATTTTTAAATATGGTACAGCTGGTCCAGACTGTAGCGGGGGCAAAGGTCACTGATTTTTTGATCCCAGCTTGCTGCCAAAAAGCAGCAGAAAAGTGCAGTGCTAAAAGTAGACACAAGATGGCGTCCTAACGTTAGAACCAACTGCTGTTCAAACAGCTGCTTACTTGCTGAGAAGAATGTAGTAAAAGAAACGTTTCCATTCGACACCATAAACTCCCTTAGAGATCCAATAACAACATAAACTTTTTAACTGCGGAATACTTTTATCTCCTGCTTATGGATAAAGTCATTATAGATTACCCAGTGTTATAAAAATCTGTAAATTAACGTCCACTTTTCTAGCCGATTCCCTTTAAACCAGTTTCTGCGCAATGATTGGTCAGGATCGCTGTCACTCAAACGTCACTACTCCGCCGTGGAGTTCTATGGATCGTGTTTTTCACACACCAATGCGGGGGTCAGCTAATAACTCAACCAAACTCTAATAAATTAGTATTCAAAAACTAATTGGATATAAAGTCGTTAAATATATTTGGAAAGATGTGTATTTAATTAGCATCTCTCTAGTTACAGGGGGGGATTTACACTGACGAGGCATAGATTTAAAAAAGGTAAGCTTTATTAAAATATCAGTATTGCAAACAGATTTATTGTACTTTTTTTACAACATAAAACACAACTCCACGGTGTTATACTGATAAGTTAGTGTTTCTGCACTTAAAAAAAATCTGAATCCTATATTAGTTTTCCCGATCGATGTATGCATTAAATTTTCCGACAGCCCGTGAAGGCACCGTCAGTCTCATTGTGGCCCTGCGGATCTCTCGCCATCACACTCAGCAGCTACGAAGGAGCAGCAGGGCGACAGGACACCGGGGCCACCGCAGCCGCCCAGCCCGCTTCAGCGACACTTTGATCCCCTGCAGCCATGGAGAGCGGCGCTGTGGGTCATTAGGGGAGCTTTTTAACCGGTAAGCGGCTGTTTTTTCATCCTCCTCCTCCTCTGTGCTGCCTCCAGTGAACGGCTGGGATTCCTTTCTTATCCAGTCAGTCTCTCTGGTTATCACCGTGTCTCTGACGCTGTTCGCCTCCATCAGGTTAGGCGGTGGAGCTGAGGCGTCGTCCTGATTTTAGTTGGTTTCTTTTCTCTTCTGTTTTGAACATGATGCCCTGATGTTCCAGCAGCTCCCATCCTCTCTGGGAGGAAGCTAATGAAGCTGCTGCTGGGTTCTCCTTGCTTAGAGGGGGGGTTCTCCTCACATCCACAGCTCCCTAAAGCCATGACGCATTTTAATCCTCTTATTTATCCCCCCCTCCCTCCATGGCTTTCCTCCCATCACACAGTGATGCTCAGTGGAGTCAGATGAAGGACACATCCTCGTTGTTTTGCTGTGATGCTGCAGGGGGATTCTGCTCAGCTCACTGATGCCGTGCAGCATCAAAAGTCAGGGTACACTGAAAAAAAAATAATGCAACTGCTTTTAGCATTTACTAATGCTATAGCTACAATTAACAACACATGTCATCTCAAGGCACTTTACAGTTCACTAGATCATCCAGTCAGATTGGTTTAAAGTGTTGTATCTTAAGAAAACCAGTTGATTTCACCACTCAAAGGCAATCCCTCACACTAAGCATGCTTGTAGCGACAGTGGAGAGGAAAAACTCCCTTTTAACAGGAAGAAACCTCCAGCAGAACCAGGCT